CTTCACTGAGCTGACCTCTACTAAGGTAAGACCCCTTCACTGAGCTGATCTCTACTAAGGTAAGACCCCCTTCACTGAGCTGACCTCTACTAAGGTAAGACCCCCTTCACTGAGCTGGGCCTCTACAAAGGGTAAGACCCCTTCACTGAGCTGATCTCTACTAAGGTAAGACCCCTTCACTGAGCTGATCTCTACTAAGGTAAGACCCCCTTCACTGAGCTGGCCTCTACTAAGGTAAGACCCCTTCACTGAGCTGATCTCTACTAAGGTAAGACCCCTTCACTGAGCTGACCTCTACTAAGGTAAGACCCCTTCACTGAGCTGATCTCTACTAAGGTAAGACCCCTTCACGAGCTGACCTCTACTAAGTAAGACCCCCTTCACTGAGCTGATCTCTACTAAGGTAAGACCCCTTCACTGAGCTGATCTCTACTAAGGTAAGACCCCTTCACTGAGCTGATCTCTACTAAGGTAAGACCCCTTCACTGAGCTGATCTCTACTAAGGTAAGACCCCTTCACTGAGCTGATCTCTACTAAGGTAAGACCCCTTCACTGAGCTGATCTCTACTAAGGTAAGACCCCCTTCACTGAGCTGATATCTACTAAGGTAAGACCCCTTCACTGAGCTGATCTCTACTAAGGTAAGACCCCTTCACTGAGCTGACCTCTACTAAGGTAGGGATTTCCTTCTTCTTCTCCTCCTTCTCCTCCTGTACTTTATTCTTCCCAGGTGAACAACGTTCCTTACCTGCTGGCGATGGGCCAGGCCTTCATGCTGCTGAAACAAACTCCTCGGGCCAGGAACCAGCTCAAGAGGCTCACCAAGGTAGACTTTTACTAGGACTGTTATATTAGATTTACATGTTGGTCCTGTAGCTTAGCAGACACTCTTATCCAGAGAGCCTTAGTCAGAGGAGAGGGCCTAGAACCAACCCTGGAGGACACCAGTAATCTATATGATTATTGTATAGGTAGAGTGGCACTGGGAGCTGTCAGAGGACCTGGAGACAGCCTGGTTGCTGCTGGCTGATATCTACATCAAGTCTGGGAAATATGACATCGCCTTTTGACCTACTGCAAAAGCTGTATTAAATACAACCAGGTACATGCGTGCACATGCACAGAGAGGGAGGGAGGGAGGGAGGGAGGGAGGGAGGGAGGGAGGGAGGGAGGGGGGGGGAGGGAGACAGACAGACCCGACAGACAGACAGACAGACAGACAGACAGACAGACAGACAGACAGACAGACGCAGAGTCTGATGTGTCAGTATAGGATGAGCTGTATGGACATAGGGTTTAGTTGTACAGTAGTTTTAGTGTTTACAGTGTGTATTGGTTGTTTTGTGTACAGTGTGTTTAGTGTGTACAGTGTGTATTAGTGGATTTGTGTGACATGGGTTTTAATGTGACAGTAGTGATTAGTGTGAAATGGGGTTTAGTGTGTATTAGGGTCAGTAGGCTTAAGTGTAAGTATGTTTTTAGTGAATTAGTGTGTACAGTAGTGATTGTGTGTCAGTGTGTATTAGGTGTTTTAGTGTGTACAGTAGTTTTTAGTGTGTACGTAGTGTATTGGTGATTATTGTACATAGGTCTTAATGTACAGTAGTGTATTAGTGTGACAGGTTATTAGTGGTATTTGTGTGTAAGTAGGTTTAAGTGTACTAGTGTTTTATGTGTACAGTAGGATAGTGTTTTTTATGGTACAGTAGTGTCAGATTTTGGGGTTTTTACATAGGTTTTAGTGTGTTTGTTGTACAGTAGTGATTATTTGGGTCAGTAGGTATTAAAGTGTTTTTTAGTGTGTACATAGTGCTTAGTGAGTACATTAGTGTATTAGTGGTACAGTAGTTATTATGTGATTAGTGGTACAGTAGTGTTTTAGGTGTACCGTAGTGTATTAGGGTATTAGTGTGTACAGTAGGTTTTTGTGTGTAAGTTTTTGTTTAGTGTGTACAGTAGTGTTTTGGGTTGATGTTTATTGGGATTAGTGTTTTACAGTGTGTATTGTGTGTACAGTAGGTTTTGTGGTACAGTAGTGTATGTGGTCGTAGTGTTTTGTGTGTTTTAGGTGTCAGTGTGTTTAAATGAGTACGTGGGGTTATTAGGTGTAAGTAGTGTATTAGTGATTTTGGGGTTTGTACAGTATGTATTAGGTGTGTACATAGTGTATTAGGTGTATTGTGGTACATATTATTATGTGTACAGTAGTGTATTGTGTGTCAGTGTTATTGTGTGTATTATGTGTCGTAGTGTTTATTGGATTAGGTAACAGTAAGGTTTAATGTGTACAGTGTGTATTAGTGTGTACAGTAGTGTATTAGTGTGAATTAGTGTAACATGTTTTAATGTGTACGTAGGTATTAGTGTCTACGTTGGTGTATTTGGGTAGATTATGTGTACTTTGTGTTTTAGTGTGTCAGTAGGTTTGGGGGTATTGGGGTTGTCAGTAGTGTATTTTTGGTTTTAGGTATACATAGTTCTTAATGTTTACATGTGTTTTATTGTGTATTAGTGTTACAGGGGTGTTTTAAATTTGTGTACAGAGGTATTAGTGTGTACATTTATTAGTTTACTTAGGGTGTACAGTAGGTTTTAAGGTACAGTAGTGTATTTGTTACAGTAGGTTTTTTAGGTTGGTTTTGTGTAGACAGTAGCGTTAGTGTTACAGTAGTGTATGTGTGTACGTAGTGTATTCGGTTGTCAGTAGTGTTTTAGTGTTCAGTAGTGTATTAGGGGTATTGTGTGTCAGTAGTGTCTTAATTGCACAGTATGTATTAGTGTTACAGTAGTGTATTAGTGTGTATTTGTTGTACAGAGGCTTAATGTGTACGTAGTGTATTGGGTGTACGTAGTGTATTAGTTTTGTATTAGTGGTACGTATGTCAGATTTTTTGTGGTCATGTGTATTTGGTTTTAGTGTGTACAGTATGTATTATTGTCAGAGGTTTTTGGGTTTAGTGTGTACAGTGTGTCTTAGTGGAAATTGTGTATTATGTTACATAGTGTTTTAGGTGTTTTGGTGTCAGTAGGTTTAGTGGGGACAGTAGTGTATTAGGTGTATAGTGTGACAGTAGTGTATTAGTGTGTACAGTATTGTATTAGGGTATGGTGTAAGTATTTGTTTTAGTGAACATTTTATTAGTGTGTACAGTAGTGTATTAGGTGTATAGGGGACGTAGGTATTAGTGTGTACAGTAGGTTTTAGGTTATTTGTGTAAGTAGTGTATTAGTGTGTACAGTATTATTATGTGTACGTAGTGATTGTGTGTACAGATTTATTAGGGTGTTTTATTTTGGTACAGGGTTTGGTTACAGTAGTGTATTAGGTGTACGTAGGAGTGGTTACAGTAGTGTATAGGTGTTTGTGGTCGTAGTGTTTTAATGATACAGTAGTGTATTGTGTGTACGGGGGTTTTAGTGATATTAGTGTGTACAGTGTGTAAGGGGTACAGTAGGTTTAGTGGTTTTAGTGTGTACGTAGTGATTAGTGTGTCGTAGTGTTTAGTGGTACAGTAGTGATTAGTGTGTTTTTGTGTGTACATAGGTATTTGTGTATTGGGGAAACAGAGGGTTTTAAGGTACATAGTGTATTAGGTGTACGTGTGTATTAGGTGAAAAAATTAGGGGGGACAGTGTGTTTTAATGGGTACAGTGTGTATTAGTGTCTACATAGTGTTTATGGTTTTTTTAGTGTGTACAGTAGTGTATTAGGGTTTACAGATGTATTTTGGTGTTTTAGGGGTCGTAGTGTTTTTATGTGTTTTAGGTATACATAGTGTTTTAAATGTTTACAGTATGTTTTATGGTTTAGTTATACAGTGTGTCTTAATGTGTACGTAGTGATTAGTTGTTACAGTAGTGTATTGGGTGTAATTTAGTGGACAGTAGTGTTTTAAATTTTTCAGTGGGGTATTAGTGTTACAGTAGTTATTATGTGTATGTATTGTGTAGACGTAGCGATTATGTGTACGTATGTTTTAGTGTGTACAGTAGTGTATTCGTGTGTATGTTTTGTGCTTTTAATTTTAGATGAGTAGTGTTAATGGGATATAGTGTGTACAGTAGTGATAATCTTTATTAGTGTGTACAGTAGTGTTTAATGTGTATTAGGTGGTACAGTAGTGTTAATGTGTATTAGTGTGTACATTAGTGATAATGTGTATTAGTGTGTACAGTAGTGATAATGTGTATTAGTGTGTACAGTAGTGTTCAGTGTGTATGTATTGTTGTGTAATTGTGTGTTTTCTAGTCGTGCAGGCAGAGCGTATGAATACATGGGCTACATTAGGGAGAAGGAAGATTCGTACCATGATGCTTCAGTGTTCTACAAACACGCCTGGTTCTACACTAACAGAATCAACCCCAGCATGGGTGAGTGTCTGTGGACAGGCAGTCATCTTGGCGGTCCTCTGTAGCTCAGCTGGTTAGAGCATGGCGCTTGTAACGCCAGGGTAGTGGGTTCGATCCCCGGGACCACCCATACGTAAAAATGTATGCGCACATGACTGTAAGTCGCTTTGGATAAAAGCGTCTGCTAAATGGCATATTATTATATTATATCTTAAAGCTGCAATATGTAACTTTTTGAGCGACCCGACCAAAATTCACATAGAAATGTTCATTATATACCTGTCATTCTCATTGACAGGAAGTCTAAGAAGCGGTAGATCTGTTCTATGTGAGCTATTTCTATGCTTCCCGTTCTTAGGTTTTGTTTTTGCATCTTTTACTTTTGGTTGTGTACACCAGCTTCAAACAGCTGAAAATACAATATTGTTGGTTATGTAAAATCTATTTCACAGCAGTTTAGACGGTACAATGGTTCTACACACTATACTGGCTTGTTTTGTCACAAACTGAAATTAGGTGATCTTTTTAGAATTTAGCAACCAGGAAATGGAGGCGTGATGTCTGCATAGTGCAGTTTTAATGATATAGTCTGGTTCTTCAGTTCTAATACATGTCAAGTTAATGGTTGTTTCCCTTCTTCCATTCAGGTTTCAGACTGGCCTTCAACTATCTGAAGGTCAGGGAGTACAACGAGGCCATAGAGGTTTGTCACAAGGTCTGTACTGTGGATGATACATTACTACTGTAGCCTGATCCCAGATCTGTCAATATTACTACTGGTCCCAGATCTGTCTATATTACTACTGGTCCCAGATCTGTCTATATTACTACTGGTCCCAGATCTGTCTATATTACTACTGGTCCCAGATCTGTCTATATTACTACTGTAGCCTGGTCCCAGATCTGTCTATATTACTACTGGTCCCAGATCTGTCTATATTACTACTGGTCCCAGATCTGTCTATATTACTACTGTAGCCTGATCCCAGATCTGTCTATATTACTACTGGTCCCAGATCTGTCTATATTACTACTGGTCCCAGATCTGTCTATATTACTACTGTAGCCTGGTCCCAGATCTGTCTATATTACTACTGGTCCCAGATCTGTCTATATTACTACTGGTCCCAGATCTGTCTATATTACTACTGGTCCCAGATCTGTCTATATTACTACTGGTCCCAGATCTGTCTATATTACTACTGGTCCCAGATCTGTCCTATTACTACTGTAGCCTGATCCCAGATCTGTCTATAATTATATACTGTAGCCTGGTCCCAGATCTGTCTATATTACTACTGGTCCCAGATCTGTCTATATTACTACTGGTCCCAGATCTGTCTATATTACTACTGTAGCCTGATCCCAGATCTGTCTATATTACTACTGTAGCTGGTCCCAGATCTGTCTATATTACTACTGTAGCCTGATCCCAGATCTGTCTATATTACTACTGGTCCCAGATCTGTCTATATTACTACTGGTCCCAGATCTGTCTATATTACTACTGTAGCCTGGTCCCAAGATCTGTCTATATTTACTACTGGTCCCAGATCTGTCTATATTACTACTGGTCCCAGATCTGTCTATATTACTACTGGTCCCAGATCTGTCTATATTACTACTGGTCCCAGATCTGTCTATATTACTACTGTAGCCTGGTCCCAGATCTGTCTATATTACTACTGTAACCTGGATCAGTCTGCAAGACAGATCTGGGACCCAGGCTATCACTACCGAACATATTGGAAAGGATTTAGTGGAGTGCCTTAGTTTAGAGCAGGGGTGTCAAACGTCCGGCCCGCGGGCCGAATCAGGCCCGCAAACGGGTTTAATCCGGCCCGCGAGATGATTTTGAAAAAATTAAAAAATAATCATAATAATAATAATAATTTTGTAAAGTATAAAAATGCGCTGCAATTTTTCAATAAAATAAACTGCTGTTCCAATTGCGTCCACTGGATGGCGCAATAGCAATTGTGTTAAGCAAGCAAACTGTTTATACCGGGGCAGAGCAAGTAGGTCAAGCACGTGCAGCCAATGAGCTACTTTGTTTTGCCCGCGATATTTATTACGGCTTCTACTTTTAACATTATGTGCTTTGGCACCCTCATTGCCCCAATATGTCTCTGTCAAAAAAGACAAAAGTGGACGCAGAGTGCAGAGTGTTCCAAGAAAAATGGTCATCCTATTTATTCACGGAATTGAATGGGAAAGCTGTATGTTTGGTGTGTTCAGAGCATGTTGCAGTGCTGAAAGAATATAACCTTCGTCGCCACTATGTGAGTCTTCATGCCGACAAATATGACAACTTTCAAGGACAGTGGAGATGAGAGAAGGTGAATGAACTGTTGGCGGGTCTGAAGAAACAGCAGTCTGTGTTTACTCACAGCCGAGACATCAGTGACGCTACAGTGAAAGCTAGCTACCCTCATTGCTAATGAAATCGCAGTGGCTTCAAAACCATTTAGTGAGGGTGAATTTGTAAAAACATGCATGATGAAGGCAGCGGAGATTGTGTGCCCTGAAAAGCGGCAGGCTTTTGCAAATATCAGCCTGACAAGAAACACAGTTGCAGACAGGATTTCCGATCTTTCAGTGGATTTGGACAGCCAGTTGAAGCAAAAAGTAAAGTCATTTATTGCGTTTTCGGTTGCAATTGATGAAAGCACGGACATTACAGATGTTGCACAACTGGCCATTTTCATCCGCGGAGTTGATGACACATTGACCGTCACCGAGGAGTTCGTGGAGTTGGTGCCGATGACAGATACAACGACAGCAGCTGATATTTTTACCGCACTCGTCGGCGCACTGGACAGGGTCGGAGTGGACTGGTCCCACGCTGTCAGCCTGGCTACAGATGGTGCGCCCTCAATGATTGGGAAAAAAGCAGGCGTTGTGACAAAGTTCAGAGAGAAAGTGCAATCTGCAAATGGAGGATGTGATTTTTTGACTTTTCACTGTATTTTGCACCAGGAGGCTTTGTGTTGCAAGTCATTAAAGATGGATAACGTCATGAAGGTGGTCATCCAAACTGTTAATTTCATCCAATCCAGAAGCCTGAATCACCGTCAGTTTGACAGCCTTCTCAGAGAGAAAGACCACATCTATGGCCTGCCATACCACACTGAGGTAAGATGGTTAAGCCGAGGTGCTGTGCTGAGGCGTTTCTTTGATTTACGAGAAGAAATTGAACAGTTCATGGAAGAAAAGGGCAAACCAGTGTTAGAATTTAATTCCGCAGAATGGATGCAGGACCTTGCATTTATGGTGGATGTTACAGAGCACCTGAATAACTTGAACAAACAGCTGCAAGGGCGCAACAAAGTTGTCACGCAGTATTATGACAGCATACGTTCTTTCAAGTTGAAGCTGTCATTGTGGGAGACGCAACTCGCCGGTGGTGATGCAGCTCACTTCCCCTGTCTGAAAAATGTGTGCGCGACCCAACATGTGGCAGACATGAAGCGGTTCAAAGATAAAATAACGGGACTGTTACGGGAGTTTGAGCAACGCTTTCAGATTTATGTTTATATGTTTTTATGTTGATGTGCTATTGTTTTTAATTGTTTTTATTTTATTTGTATATTTAACCTATTCTTGACTCTGTGGTTCTTGCACTTGTTTGGGGAACAGGATTTCATTATTTTTATCTACATTTCTGCCTGAGAAATGACACCCTGATATAGTTCTGTGATCTGTGAAACAGTTCTGTTAATCACTGAGGCATTGTGTGTTTGTGTGTTCTTTTTCTTTAGAATTTTCAAATAAACTTGAAGTGTTTTATGATTAATAGTGATGTTGTGCTTGTACTATTTTGGACACACTGTCCTCAGGCTCCAGCTTTATGTTGATCGTATTAAAACAAAGAAAACAATCTGAAGTTGTTGTTTTTAAGTTATATATACCATGATTTTTCCGGTCCGGCCCACTTGGGAATAGATTTTCCTCCATGTGGCCCCTGAGCTAAAATGAGTTTGACACCCCTGGTTTAGAGGATGAGGTTGATTGATTGATTAAGTATCAGTGTAGTGAGAGATAGTTGTCCTGACCTGCCTGTTCCCCATCAGGTCCTCACAGAGCACCCAGACTACCCTCTGATACAGACAGAGATCCTAGAGAGAGCCTGCTCTGCTCTCCGACCCTGAACCTCAGCCTGGGTCATGTGATTAACCCTCCATGGCTCTGACCACTAGTAACCTGTCAACATAGCACAAGGCCCCCTACTCCAATTAACTATGGGGAACTTTGTCTTTATCAAAACAAGTGCTTTGTTCTTTGCACAATATGTTCAAGATATACTGTACTGCACATGAGATATGCAAATACTATGCAACTTTTATTAATAGTTGTTCTGTAATGTAAAATAGTCTGTTCGAATGTTAAATACAGTGCATTCAGAAAGTATTCAGACCCCTTGACTTTTAACACATTTTATTACGTTACAGCCTTATTCTAAAATTGATTAAATTGTTTTTTCCCCCTCATCAATCTACACATAATACCCCATAATGACAAAGGAAAAACAGGTTTGTAGCAAATGTATATATAAAAAAAAAATATGTAAATGTAATATATATATATATATATATATATATATATATATATATAAGTATTCAGGCCCTTTACTCAGTACTTTGTTAAAGGACCTTTGGCAGCGATTACAGCCTTGAGTCTTCTTGGGTATGACGCTACAAGTTTGGCACACCTGTATTTGGGGAGTTTCTCCCATTCTTCTCTGCAGATCCTCTCAAGCTCTGTCAGGTTGGATGGGGAGCGTCGCTGCACAGCTAATTTCAGGTCTCTCCAGAGATGTTTGATCGGGTTCAAGTCCAGGCTCTGGCTGGGCCACTCAAGGACATTCAGAGACTTGTCCCAAAGCTACTCCTGCGTTGTCTTGGCTGTGTGCTTAGGGTCGTTGTCCTGTTGGAAGGTGATCCTTTGCCCCAGTCTGAGGTCCTGAGCACTCTGGAGCAGGTTTTCATCAAGAATCTCTCTGCACTTTGCTCCGTTCATCTTTCCCTCGATCCTGACTAGTCTCCCAGTCCCTGCTGCTGAAAAACATCCCCACAGCGTGATGCTGCCACCACCATGCTTCACCGTAGGGATGGTGTCGGGTTTCCTCCAGATGTGACGCTTGGCATTCAGGCCAAAGAGTTCAATCTTGGTTTCATCAGACCAGAGAATCTTGTTTCTCATGGTCTGTGAGTCTTTAGGTGCCTTTTTGGCAAACTCCAAGTGGGATGTCATGTGCCTTTTACTGAGGAGTGGCTTCCGTCTGGTCACTCTACCATAAAGGCCTGATTGGTGGAGTGCTGCAGAGATGGTTGTCCTTCTGGAAGGTTCTCTGGCTATAAGGTGAATGCACCAATTTGTAAGTCGCTCTGGATAAGAGCGTCTGCTAAATGACGTAAATGTTCTCCCATCTCCACAGAGGAACTCTGGAGCTCTGTCAGAGTGACCATTGGGTTCTTGGTCACCTCCCTGACCAAGGTCCTTCTCCCCCGATTGCTCAGTTTGGCCGGGGGGCCAGCTCTAGGAAGAGTCTTGGTGGTTCCAAACTTCTTCCATTTAAGAATGATGGAGGCCACTGTGTTCTTGGGGACCTTCAGTGCTGCAGACGTTTTTTGGTACCCTTCCCCAGATTTGTGCCTCGACACAATCACTGTCTCGGAGCTCTACGGACAATTCCTTCGACCTCATGGCTTGATTTTTGCTCTGACATGCACTGTCAACTGTGGGACCTTATATAGACAGGTGCGTGCCTTTCCAAATCATGTCCAATCAATTGAATTTACCACAGGTGGACTCCAATCAAGTTGTAGAAACATCTCAAGGATGATCAATGGAAACAGGATGCACCTGAGCTCAATTTCGAGTCTCATAGCAAAGGGTCTGAATACTTATGGAAAGGTCAATGGAAACAGGAAGCACCTGCGTCTCATAGCAAAGGGTCTGAATACTTATGGAAAGGTCAATGGAAACAGGAAGCACCTGCGTCTCATAGCAAAGGGTCTGAATACTTATGGAAAGGTCAATGGAAACAGGAAGCACCTGCGTCTCATAGCAAAGGGTCTGAATACTTATGGAAAGGTCAATGGAAACAGGAAGCACCTGCGTCTCATAGCAAAGGGTCTGAATACTTATGGAAAGGTCAATGGAAACAGGAAGCACCTGCGTCTCATAGCAAAGGGTCTGAATACTTATGGAAAGGTCAATGGAAACAGGAAGCACCTGCGTCTCATAGCAAAGGGTCTGAATACTTATGGAAAGGTCAATGGAAACAGGAAGCACCTGCGTCTCATAGCAAAGGGTCTGAATACTTATGGAAAGGTCAATGGAAACAGGAAGCACCTGCGTCTCATAGCAAAGGGTCTGAATACTTATGGAAAGGTCAATGGAAACAGGAAGCACCTGCGTCTCATAGCAAAGGGTGCTGAATACTTATGGAAAGGTCAATGGAAACAGGAAGCACCTGCGTCTCATAGCAAAGGGTCTGAATACTTATGGAAAGGTCAATGGAAACAGGAAGCACCTGCGTCTCATAGCAAAGGGTCTGAATACTTATGGAAAGGTCAATGGAAACAGGAAGCACCTGCGTCTCATAGCAAAGGGTCTGAATACTTATGGAAAGGTCAATGGAAACAGGAAGCACCTGCGTCTCATAGCAAAGGGTCTGAATACTTATGGAAAGGTCAATGGAAACAGGAAGCACCTGCGTCTCATAGCAAAGGGTCTGAATACTTATGGAAAGGTCAATGGAAACAGGAAGCACCTGCGTCTCATAGCAAAGGGTCTGAATACTTATGGAAAGGTCAATGGAAACAGGAAGCACCTGCGTCTCATAGCAAAGGGTCTGAATAATTATGGAAAGGTCAATGGAAACAGGGAGCACCTGCGTCTCATAGCAAAGGGTCTGAATACTTATGGGAAAGGTCAATGGAAACAGGGAGCACCTGCGTCTCATAGCAAAGGGTCTGAATACTTATGGAAAGGTCAATGGAAACAGGGAGCACCTGCGTCTCATAGCAAAGGGTCTGAATACTTATGGAAAGGTCAATGGAAACAGGGAGCACCTGCGTCTCATAGCAAAGGGTCTGAATACTTATGGAAAGGTCAATGGAAACAGGGAGCACCTGCGTCTCATAGCAAAGGGTCTGAATACTTATGGAAAGGTCAATGGAAACAGGGAGCACCTGCGTCTCATAGCAAAGGGTCTGAATACTTATGGAAAGGTCAATGGAAACAGGGAGCACCTGCGTCTCATAGCAAAGGGTCTGAATACTTATGGAAAGGTCAATGGAAAACAGGGAGCACCTGCGTCTCATAGCAAAGGGTCTGAATACTTATGGAAAGGTCAATGGAAACAGGAAGCACCTGCGTCTCATAGCAAAGGGTCTGAATACTTATGGAAAGGTCAATGGAAACAGGAAGCACCTGGCGTCTCATAGCAAAGGGTCTGAATACTTATGGAAAGGTCAATGGAAACATGAAGCACCTGCGTCTCATAGCAAAGGGTCTGAATACTTATGGAAAGGTCAATGGAAACAGGAAGCACCTGCGTCCTCATAGCAAAGGGTCTGAATACTTATGGAAAGGTCAATGGAAACAAGGAAGCACCTGCGTCTCATAGCAAAGGGTCTGAATACTTTATGGAAAGGTCAATGGAAACAGGAAGCACCTGCGTCTCATAGCAAAGGGTCTGAATACTTATGGAAAGGTCAATGGAAACAGGAAGCACCTGCGTCTCATAGCAAAGGGTCTGAATACTTATGGAAAGGTCAATGGAAACAGGAAGCACCTGCGTCTCATAGCAAAGGGTCTGATTACTTATGTAAAGGTCAATGGAAACAGGAAGCACCTGAGTCTCATAGCAAAGGGTCTGAATACTTATGGAAAGGTCAATGGAAACAGGAAGCACCTGAGTCTCATAGCAAAGGGTCTGAATACTTATGGAAAGGTCAATGGAAACAGGAAGCACCTGAGTCTCATAGCAAAGGGTCTGAATACTTATGGAAAGGTCAATGGAAACAGGAAGCACCTGCGTCTCATAGCAAAGGGTCTGAATACTTATGGAAAGGTCAATGGAAACAGGAAGCACCTGCGTCTCATAGCAAAGGGTCTGAATACTTATGGAAAGGTCAATGGAAACAGGAAGCACCTGCGTCTCATAGCAAAGGGTCTGAATACTTATGGAAAGGTCAATGGAAACAGGAAGCACCTGCGTCTCATAGCAAAGGGTCTGAATACTTATGGAAAGGTCAATGGAAACAGGAAGCACCTGCGTCTCATAGCAAAGGGTCTGAATACTTATGGAAAGGTCAATGGAAACAGGAAGCACCTGCGTCTCATAGCAAAGGGTCTGAATACTTATGGAAAGGTCAATGGAAACAGGAAGCACCTGCGTCTCATAGCAAAGGGTCTGAATACTTATGGAAAGGTCAATGGAAACAGGAAGCACCTGCGTCTCATAGCAAAGGGTCTGAATACTTATGGAAAGGTCAATGGAAACAGGAAGCACCTGCGTCTCATAGCAAAGGGTCTGAATACTTATGGAAAGGTCAATGGAAACAGGAAGCACCTGCGTCTCATAGCAAAGGGTCTGAATACTTATGGAAAGGTCAATGGAAACAGGAAGCACCTGCGTCTCATAGCAAAGGGTCTGAATACTTATGGAAAGGTCAATGGAAACAGGAAGCACCTGCGTCTCATAGCAAAGGGTCTGAATACTTATGGAAAGGTCAATGGAAACAGGAAGCACCTGCGTCTCATAGCAAAGGGTCTGAATACTTATGTAAAGGTATTTCTGTATTTATTTTAATAAAATTGCAAACATTTCTAAAAACCTGTTTTCACATATGGGGTATTGTGTGTTCATCGATGATTAAAACATGAATTTAATCCATTGTAGAATAAGGCTGTAACGTTAGTGAAGGAGTCTGAATACTTTCCAAATACACTTGCACAGATGGGTCTTCCACTTTTGAAATATATATTTATTTCATATATATAATATAAGTATATTTATTGGGTTGTGATGATTGCATTAATATCAGAATACATTTTTGAAATAATAAAGAATGAATTCTACAGATCTCTAAAGGCAGTGTCTATCACTAAAGGTTTGCTGGCTGTGCTTCAGTGGCCC